CCCCCCCCCCCCGGGGGGGCGGCCCCACCCCACCCCCTTTTACCCTAACCCCAACCCCCCCCCCCTTTAACCCTAACCCTACCTCCCCCCCCCCCCCTAGACCCCGACCCCCCCCCCCCCCCTTTCCGACCACTCACCCCCATCCGCCCCCCAAGGCCCACTCGAGCACGCGAGGCTGCTGTGTCGTGTACGACGACGGCGAGACGCGCTACCGCCGCCTCTCGTTCCACCATTATTACTGATTCAGTATTACTTCCTGAGGAGTAGGCGATGTGGTCTACCACCGCCTCCTCGGCGAGGGCCCCGGCCGCGAGGAGTGGGAGGTCGAGGCGGGCGGCGCGACGTCGCCGCCTCGCGTCAAGGCGGCTGCCGCGGGGCGCGCTGGCGCCAGCGGACCAAGTAAGCGGCGGCGGGCGGCGGCGGCGGCGGCGGCGGCGGCTCTGGCAGAGCCTCCTTCGGGAGCCGCCGATCGAGGACCGCCCACCTGCCGCGCGTCCACGCCGGCGGCGGCCGTGCTGAAGAGGCAGCGCCGGGACACGCCAGGGAAGCCCGCGTGCGGACGCGGCGCTTGCCAGCCCGAGAAGAAGCCTAAGTGGAAGCCCGCCGCCGGTGGGTGGACGCACCGGGCGGAGGAGGCGGAGGCGAGGACGAAGAAGGCGGAGGCGGTGGCGGAGGCGGAGGCGAGGACGAAGAAGGCGGAGGCGGAGGTGGGGGCGGGGGCGGAGGCGGAGGCGGAGGCGGAGGCCAAGGCCCCGCCCGCCTCGAGCGCGAGCAACATCAACGTCGCGCGGCCGTACAACGAGGGCGACGCGGCGGTGCAGTGCGAGCGAAACCCGCTGTGTCTCAAAGGCAACCGCCACGCTGGCTTCTGCCGCCTGTCGCGCACGAAGCGGAAGCGGCCCGCGGCAAGCGGAGGCGAGGGCGAGCAGCCTGGCGAGCCTGGCGGCGAGACCTCTCCTCCGTCGCTCGAGCGAGACTCGAGCGCGCCTCCTCGCCCGCGGCGGCGGGCCGTGACCGGCCGCCCGCGGCTGCCCCGGGGCGACTCGGACCTCTCCGCCCTCCTGCAGCCGTTCTCGCTCTCGTACACTGGCGGAGGCGCCGAGGCGGGCGGCGCGGCGGCGACCGCGCTGCTCTCCTCCCGGACCGCCTTCTCCCTCGACAGCGAGAGCGGCGCCCTCACCTTCTCCGGCAGCGAGTGGACGGATGCGGAGCGAGTCGTGCTGCTCGGGGCCGGCGAGCAGCCGGTGGCGGTTGCCGTGGTGCGCGTGCACGAGCCGCTCCGCGTGCTTGAGGTGCCGCTTCTAGCGGTGGCAAAGCAGAGCCGCGGGCTCGGGCGCGGCGCGCTGCTGGCCGCACTTCTGGTCGGCCTCGGACGCCGCCTCGGCCTGCAAACCCTCGTCGTGCCGGCCACTGAGGACTCGCGCGGCTTCTGGCTCAAGCAGGGGCTGCGCGAGAGGCCGGACCACGAGCAGCAGAAGACCGCGCTCAAGAGGATCGACCACCTCCTCTTCAAGTACAGCGACACCACGGTGATGGCGCGGCCGATCGCGCCCGCGCACGGCCCGTGCGGCGCGTCGCACTTTGCTGAGGTCGGCGTCGCGCTCGACCGCAGCGGCTGCAGCAGCAAGCCGCTGGTGCTCACGCCGACGCAGGCTGCGGCCAAGCACAACTACGTCGACATCAACGACCGCGGCAACTTCTGGATGCGGCCGGGCGGCGTCGTGGACTGGTGCAAGCCCGTATCAGGAGTATAGGCATCCTTCATTCCAAGATCGGACCCCTGGCCAACACACGGGAACAGGTGCAAGCCGGGCTACGCCCCGCCGGAGCTGCTGCCTACGGAGTGGAAGCAGGTCCCGTACCCGAAGCTCGAGGCCTTCTACGGCGCGGACGGCGGAAGCCGCGGCTGGGGCTTGCGGTGCACCGCGGCCGCCGGCCCGCCGCGCCTTTGCGCATCCCCGCGCTCTCCTCCCCTCACCCCTCTCCCTCGGCCATCCCCTGCACGTGCAGCTGCAAGGGAGCCATTCGCGCCGACTCGGTTGTGGTGGAGGTGGTCGGCCGGTGCTTCTCGGAGGAGGAGCACGCGGCGCTGGAAGACAAGACCTACGCGGTTGGCTTCCCTGACGCCATCGTCGACGCCAAGCGCGCCGCGGGGGACCCGCTTCACTTCATCGACCCCACGACACACGGCGGCATGTGGCGCTTCGTCAACGACTCACAGGAGGCGCCCAACCTCTGCCTCTGCTACCATCCCAAGTTTGAGAAGCCCTCCCCCTCCAACGGCGGGCGCGGCGTGCTGCCGACGCGCGCCTATCTCAAGGCGAAGCACGACATCGCCCCCGGTGTCGAGCTCACCTTCAACTACGGAGGCTCCAAGGAGGGCCGCCGCTCAACGTACCCTCGCTCGTGGTAGAGCGCGGAGGCGTGAGCACAGCGGCGCGCCTAGCTCGCGCGCCGCGGCATGGCCAGAGCTGCTCGACTAGCCATAGCGGCCCGTCGGTGCCTGGTAAGTGTATTGGCCGGAGCGAGGATGCTGAGTAGCCTGCTCTTCCCGATATGACATCGCGCTAGTCCTGGACTGAATCCCCCCTCCCTGCACCCTTTGGAGACCTCTGGGCCTGCCCCCTGGTGGAGATCTATAGATTCCACTTGAAGCCTTAGCGTAGCTTGTCTCCGCTTCGTGCGCTCACTGCTCTAGAAGTGATGCGCAGGTGGTCGGTATGTGTCCCAATGGCAACCGCCCAACCCGCACTGTCGGGTGGTTGTGTATATCGACGCGTTGTGCGCCGGTTCTCAGGCTCGGATGTTGATGGTTTTGAGATGTTGTTGTTGGACTCTCGAGGTTTTGAGGCATGTTGTGCGAGTGGGCCAAAAGCGTCGAAAATGTCCCCAAAAAGCGTGTCTCGAGTTTGTGTCCGCTACGCAGCCATCGCGGGCTGCCAGGACGCACCGCTCGCGCGTTCTGCACACTCGGTGGACCCCACCGAGTGTGCAGAACCAACTGGAGTGGGTAGACTCGACGCCGAACTCGAGATGTAGCGGACACAAACTCGCCGCCGAGCGTGCCACCGAAGGCGTCCCGTCGGAGGTGATGGAGTTTGAGACCTGAGGCTGCGGAGGTGACGCCTGAGGTACCGGCCCGTGCACAGCGACTCAGCCGGCGACCGCCACGGGCTCAGACGAGACTTGTCGACGCGTTCCGGCTCAGCTTCACCGTGGTCATTGGGCGTCTGTCGACGTCAGGACCACCCATACAGCTCGCGGGTTTGAGGTCGCAAGAGCCAAGATGGTGGCGTTTGGACATCCCAATCATCACACAAGACAGCCTGTAGGTGGTGGCGGGACGGCGCAGTGTCTGCGGCACTCGGCAGTAGGCACCCGCGGCACGGCCCCGCTGTCGGCTCTCGCGGGCTGCGGAACCGGCCCCAGAACGGGACGGTCCGGGCAAGTGTGGCAGATCCTGCGCTAGTATGGGCACCCTCTATCATAGCACTACTGATCCTGGTCATTAGAGCTGCCAGGAATAGCGTCAGGAGCCGGTAGGAGTCAAAACCTCTCATATTTGAGACATCGTGGCCCATATACTCGCACAACGAGCCTTTGTTGCCCATTTGTCTTGTTGCCCTGATCGTTGAAACCCGTTTCATTCACCGAATACGGAGGATGGCCGGTGATGCGGTGAACAAGTTCACGGCCGATCTCTCTTGACACGGCGGAGAGTGTTCGGTTCCAGCAGTACACGCTGCTCTGCTGCCCGTCGAAGATATCTGTAGCCGTGATGTAACGTAGGTGTATAGTCTAGACGCTAGAATGCGTTTCTTTTCAAGCGGAATTTAGTTTCCTCTTGCCGATGTGTGTGCTAGTGCGTAGGACTTTCTACTGTAAGTGCCAGTGCGCGAAAGATGTTCTTTTCAACCTCCCCTGCCTAGATAGACGAGTACAGCTAAATAAAGAGTACCCGGGGCTTCCCACCCATGAGTGTGGGGGGCCGTGAACACCTGCTCCGTTATTCGCCTCCACCCAGGGATTTTCAGTGACAGTGTATGTGGCTCTTACGATTTTGGACACCCAGGGATCCTTGATCATATGAAGGTGGAGTGCGATTTCGGGCCCGGGGTTAAGAAAGAAAGAGAGAAAACAGACAACCCAAGTGCCAAGAGAAAAAGAAAGAAAACAGAGAACCCAAACGAGGGATGGGGGAGGAGGACAGGGTCCACACCTGCACGAGCAGGATTTTGGAAGGACGATCAGGGGGACAGGTGGGCTCTCCTGCTCCTGACAAGGGACACGACAGGCTCGCAGCGCGGTGCACGGTGGAATCCCAACTCCACTGGCGGTCTCATCTCAGTCTAGCGACCTAAAAAGAAAGAAAACAGACAGCCCAAGGGAGGGATGGGAGGACGGCAAGGGATTTTAGCCCAAAAAAAGAAAGAAAACATAGAGCCCAAGGGAGGGATGGGAGGACGGCACGCCGCCACCACACAGGGATTTTAAGGAGAGGAGTGTGGTGCTAGCCGTCGCCCACCCTCGGGCGTCTACCACATCCTATCTCTCTTCGCAGTTTCTCACCAATTCTCGCAGCGACCTTCATGCCACCTCTCGTTCTTCCCACTCTCGTCCTCGTTCTCTCTCCTGCTGTTTCATCCTCTGACTCATCGCTCTCCTCGGCCTCGTTCTGAGACGCCGCTGCCGTCTGCCTTGCTCTCGCTGCTTCTCTCGCCTCTCTGCGTAACTCCGCCCTTCCTCGCGGCATAATTTGGCCCCTCGAGTTTATCGAGATCCTCTCGCGCAAGAAGAGATTCGATTTCTCTTTGTGTGAGGGAGTTTAGACTATAGTCGAGCGCGTCGGAGAGGTGTTTCGACACCGAGTGTTTGAACGTTTCTTCGCAGAAGAAACGTCGAGAGAAAAAATCTCTCGCCGGTGTTCACAGAAAAAATCTCTCGGCCTTAGCCGCCGGTACGTCAACAGTGCGATAGCCAAGTATCGCACTGTTGGGTCCCGATGGTGTCCCATCACAAATTCGTGCTGTCGACAGATCATGTCCCTTGGTCGACTGCACCCGCCTTTGGACGGTTCTCCGACATGCTTAGATGAGTCTTTTTGTCTTTTTTGGCCTTCACCAGTGCGAACGAACATATTCTTGCTCGTAGGAGCCGCTCGTCTTTCGTCCGAGCAAACGTGCGCCCGATCGCCCCATTAAGCACGTGCGAAGGGTATCCGAGCGCCGTAAACTCCTTGAGCTTGCTCGTCACGCTGAGTGCGAATCCCTCGTCATCGCTTGCAATCGCCATTGTAAAATTCTCTTAGTGCCTTTGCGCGCCAAAAAAAGAAAGAAAACGCAACAAGGGAGGGATGGGAGGACGGCACGCCGCCACCACACAGGGATTTTAATAGTGCGCGCCAGTCCCGTGCCCCGCACTGTCAAAATTCTCTTTGTGTCACACCAAAGCTCGCTACCGAATTCGCACACTGTGGGGATGTACGCACTTCTCCTCGCTGCGGCGGGGCCTAGCCTGCCACCGCAGGCTGGAATCCGAGTCTCTCGGCGCGGCGTTTTTGCCATCGCCGGATTGACGCCACTGGCAGCCTCTGCTGAGGACGTGGCCAACCTTCTGTACGCAAAGGCAGACGCCTCTGTGTTTGTTGGGACCTACACGGACCCGATGCATCCCGGCGGTACGCGGGCCATAGCCCTCACAGACACGCGGATCGGAGCTTACCAACTCGCCCGCATCGTTGGTGGCGGCGGCGAAGGAGAACCGCCGTTGTACGAGCTGCCGGCGATGATCTCGCCCGCCCCGGGCAAGAGCGGCGAGTGGCAGATCACCATCGACTTTTCACCAAAGGGTGGGCCGAAGGACTTCACCGGGTACTGGGACGGTGACGGCATCCGTTTCCCACCGACTCCACGGCAGGTGGAGCGTGGCCTGACGTCCGGCAATAAATGGCCGAAGACGAGTTGACACTGACTAGCCGGGGGTTGGGAACAAGTTCTGTACTGTTGTGACATCCGAAAAATAGTGAACAACAGAGAGTCAGAGAAACAACCCAGCGCTAATACATAACACGTACCCCATGCACAACGCGCACGCGACCCAGAGTGCAGTCTGCAGAGAGTTGTGGCTTGTGCTTTGCCGTTTGCGCATCCGCATCGATGGTTTTGCGATGGGTCCGATGTGTCAATGCTGATGTATGTGTGTCTCTGTCTGTGTACGTGTTCGTGTGAGGTGTCAGGTGCGCGTTGCACTCCACCGCGATCGGGAGTCGCTGCGAAGAACGCCGTCCGCCGTCCGCCGTGATCGGTGCAGGGCGCAGTGAGTGCCGCGCCGGCCCTCAACATTTGGCCCCGCCCTCTAGACCGCGGTAAGCTTCGTCTCTGCGAAGCCCTGGCCTAGCTTCGCCGTCTCGCGGACGCCGAAGCGGACGGTCCACTCTCCTGCGCGGGCCGACTTTGTGCCGTCGAGCGCCGTGAGTGCAAAGTCGGTGAGGGCGGGGTACAAGTCGACGGACACCGTCTGCCCCGCCTCGACGTGCACGCGCTCGAAGCCAAACAGGCTCTGGAGCGGGGCGCCGTCCTTGCCCGCGCCGGGTGGGACGAGGAAGCCTACACCGCAGCAGGGGGTGGGCTCGCTTCCGAAGGCGGTCTCGCGGGCAAGTGTCTAGGCGTCGGTGCCGAGCACGGCGTCGTGTGCGTGTCTAGGAAATGTCTCGGAAGTGTCTAGGCGTCGGTGCCGAGCACGGCGTCGTGTGCGTGTCTAGGAAATGTCTCGGAAGTGTCTAGGCGTCGGTGCCGAGCACGGCGTCGTCTGCGTCCATCGAGCCGTGGTTGGTGACGGAGACGGTGTAGCGGACGAGGCGCGCCCTCTCCCCCTCGGTGAACTCTGCGCGCGGGAACGTCTTTCGCGCGTCCGCAGTCTCGCGCAGCATCGCACGCACCTGCCGGCCGGGGCGGGCGGCGGCGTCAGGCTGCCCCGCCCGCGAAGCCTCGCGCCGCGCCACCGCCGCGCCACCGGGTCGAGGGAGAGAGTCGCGCTCGACGCCGCCAGCGAGTAGGAGAAGGTGGTGTAGCTGAGGCCAAACCCGAACGGGACCACCGGCGTGCCACTGTAGAAGCGGTGCGTGCGGCCGGGGTTGGTGCCGTTCTGCTTGCCGCAGCCGCCGCGGCAGTCCGGCCTGGGGAAGGCGGACGGGCCGGGTCGCATGTGAAGTCGAAGATGGAGACGCTGTCCGCGTACGCCTATTTGGGGTGACTGTAATTCGATCCGTCATTCTAAAGATCGCATCACGGACGGCTTCCGCGCGTGCCTTTGGGTAGACGGTCTGCACGGTGCGGCCCGCGGGGGAGGCGTGGCCGAAGAGGAGCTCGCCTTGAGAGGGGTCGGAGGGGCGGAGGGGAGGAGGTGGGTGGGTGGGTTGGGGGGGGGGGGGGGGGCACGAGGGCGAGGCCAGGGGCGGTTGAGCCGCTCGCCGACTCCGAGCACCTGCGAGGGGGCACGAGGCTTTGGGAATGAGGAGCCCCGCCCGCCGGCGCCGGGCGCGGCAGTCTGCCGCACCGTGACGGACGGCTGGCCGAGGTGGAGGACGGCGCCAATCTTTGGGTTGGCGAGCTGCTCGCTCAGGTCGAGGGGCGTCGCCGTGAAGAGGACGAGCACGACGGGCTTCTTGGCCGCGGCGGCAACCTCGCGGATGAGGGACGCCTGCGCCGCGGTGAAGTTGATGCTGCTCGCGTCGTGCTCCTGCGTCGTGCACAGGAAGGGCGGCGCCCCTCGGCTCGAGCCAGCCCCTCGGCTCGAGGGCGGTGCTGGGCAGGGAGGAGGGCGGTGCTGGGCAGGGAGGAGGGCGGTGCTGGGCAGGGAGGAGGGCGGTGCTGGGCAGGGAGGAGGGCGGTGCTGGGCAGGGAGGAGGGCGGTGCTGGGCAGGGAGGAGGGCGGTGCTGGGCAGGGAGGAGGGCGGTGCTGGGCAGGGAGGAGGGCGGTGCTGGGCAGGGAGGAGGGCGGTGCTGGGCAGGGAGGAGGGCGGTGCTGGGCAGGGAGGAGGGCGGTGCTGGGCAGGGAGGAGGGCGCCTCGTGCGCCCAAGTCAGGTCCGTCCCCACCGCCAGCACGACCTCGTCGGCAGCTTTGGCGGCCTCGACGGCGGCGGCGACGCCGGAGGTGTCGGCCGAGAGGACGGTGGGCACGCCTGGCGGGGAAGGAGGGGGAGGGGGGCTCAGCTGGCGGGACCGCGTGCGCTACACGCCTCGGCGGGGCGGGGTGTGGCGGGGTGTGGCGGGGCGTGGCGGGGTGTGGCGGGGTGTGGCGGGGTGTGGCGGGGCGTGGCGGGGCGTGGCGGGGTGTGGCGGGGTGTGGCGGGGCGTGGCGGGGCGTGGCGGGGTGTGGCGGGGTGTGGCGGGGCGTGGCGGGGCGTGGCGGGGTGTGGCGGGGTGTGGCGGGGCGTGGCGGGGTGTGGCGGGGTGTGGCGGGGTGTGGCGGGGTGACTCGCCCAGCATCACCGTCGGCTGCATGCTCGAACGCGTCGCAACCGCGTCGGCGAGGGTCCAGTAGTGAGCGCCGCAGGGCTGGTGCGGGCCGTAGTAGCTGACGGTCGCCTGACGGCGCACGTGCGGGCTGGTGGGGGGCGGTGCGGGAGGGGAGCGGCGCGGGCGCTGGTGCGGGGTGGTGCGGCCGCCTTGCTGAGGTTTGCGTTCGGTCCGAGGATGGCGAGGCTGCCGGCCGCGGAGGGGGAGAGCGGGAGGGTCTTGTTCTCGTTCTTGAGGAGTGCGGCCGACTGCACCATCCCCGAGGTTGCGAGCGAGGTGGCGTGTGGCGAGCAGACGTCGGAGAGCGGGAAGCGCTGCAACGGTCCGGGCGGGTCGAAGTGGCCGAGCCGCATGCGGACGCGGAAGAGGTTGGCGAGCCTGTGGGCAGAGGAGGGGAGGGGGCCTCGGTCGGGGCAGCGCGGCAACCCTCCCTCGGGCGGGGCGAGGGGCGGGAGGCGGGGAGACGGGCGGGGAGAGGGGTGCGGAGCGCTCCGTGCGTCGATGAGTCGCTCGTCGATGATCTTCTTCTTGAGGGCGGACGGGGCGTACTTGCCGACGAAGGAGGTGCAGTCCACGTCCGTCCCCGCGCGGAGGACGCCCGCCACCGTCTCCTCCTGCGTCCAGTTCCTGTAGTGGTGCTTGTAGTACACGTCGGCGTCGGCGTCGCAGTCCGAGGTGATGTAGCCGTCGAAGCCCCAGTCCTTGCGCGCGACCTCGTCGAGCAGCCAGGACGAGGCGCAAGAGGGCACGCCGTTGATCGCGTTGTACGAGCACATGAGCCCCGAGACCTAGCATGCGAACAGGCGAGATGATGGTGGCCGTGAGGTGGTGACATGTGCAGAGCACATCCGCCCCCAGACCTTGCCCTTCTCGACGCAGGCCTGGAAGGGCAGCAGGTAGCTGTCCACAAGGTCCCGCCGCGAGATGGTGGCAGAAAAGTCGTGCCGCGTGTGCGTCTGCCCGCCCTCGGTCGCGTGCTCCATGCTGTTGGCCGCGTAGTGCTTGCAGCACGCCGACGCCTGGATGTGTGCGCCGCCGTCCTCGGGCGCCCGCTCCATCCCCGTCACAAACGCCTCAGCGTACTCTCCAACCAAATACGGGTCCTCGCCCGGCACCTCGATGTTGCGCCCCCACCGAGGCTCGCGTGCGAGGTTGATGACCGGCGCCCAGAAGCTCGACCCGGCCTGGCCTGCGTTCATCAGCGCCCGCGCCTCGTGCCCAATCTGCCGCCCCGTGAGCCGCCAGAGGGTCCGGTTGAAGGACATGCCTGTCGTAATGGGGTAGGCGAACTTGGTGGTCTGCTTGCCGCCCGAGACGCCGGAAGAGGCCTCCTCCCACCAGTTGTACGCGCTCAGGCCAAGCGACTTGATCTCTACGCCCGCCGTGTTCAGGTTGGGGATCTTTTCGTCGAGCGACATGCGGCCAAGCATGTCGGTGATGCGTTCGTCGATGCTGAGCGACGCGTCACACCATGGCTGTTTGTGATACGGCGCGGCAGTATCGACGCACGGGTTGTTTTGCCACGAGGTGGACGCTGACGCGAGCACTGCCAACATGTTGATGACAGCGCCGCGAAAGAATTCTGATACAATTGTACCGGGTGGCGGCGTGCCGTCCTCCCATCCCTCCCTTGGGGTGTCTGTTTTCTTTCTTTTTTTAGAAAACGCGGACGCCCAAGGGTGGACGACGGCTAGCGCATCACACCCCTCTCCTTAAAATCCCTGTGTGGTGGCGGCGTGCCGTCCTCCCATTCTCCCATCCCTGGATGATTTGTCCATTTTATTTCTTTTCTCCTCCCCCTCGTGTTTTCTTCGTTTCGTTCTTTATCCCTCCCTGATTCTCTACTCTGTATTGCTAAAAATCTCAATACATATTCTTTGCCCGTATGTGTATTCTTTTCTAAAATCAAAAATCTCTCTCTCTCGCGTGCGAGCCGCGTTTGAGTACGAGAGTACGGGGGGGGGGGGGGGGGGCAAGTAAACCGTTACATTTTTGAGCTAAAATTCTTTCTGGCGCACATGGGTTGTAAAATTCTTTAGACTTTACGCTGTGGTCCACGTGACAAACAAACGTCTCGCGCGCGCGTGAACAGGGCTCCAGGCCCCAAATTACGTGTGAGTGTTAGAGTTGTTTGGTATTGCTAAAAATCTCTCTCTCTCCACGTCTACGACGCACTCGACCCCGCGGGCCGAGTGCGCTGCCGGCTGGCATGGTCGCGCAATCCGCTGGAGGGGTGGAAGTGGGTCGAGGGCGACGAGGCGCGAGGACCGGAGTTTGTGCCGCTCGGAGCGCCATCCGCCTTTGACTCGCATGTCTGCTTCGCCGCGGCATCTCCCGTGGCGTGGCGCGGCGCGGAGCGGATCTACTACATGGGCGGGAACGGACCTCACTCTGGCGCACGCAACTCCTCTCTCGGCATGGCGACGCTGCGGCAGGACGGGTACGCAGGGCTAGCGGGTCGCGGCAGAGTGACATTGCAGCCGGTGCTGTGCACCGCTGAGCTGCTCACAGTGACGTATGACGCTCCGCCCGGCGGCGGCTCGCTGCGCATCGGCCTCGCCAACGAGAGCGCCGCGGTGGGCCTCTCGCTGTCCCACTCGATACCGCTCACGGGCTCCGCCACCGACGCGTCGATGCACTTTGAGGGAGGATGCGGCGGGCCGAGCTTCTACCCCTTTGTCGGCAAGATCGTAACCCTGGCGGTGGTCATAGAGGGGGGAGGCACGCTCTACACTGTCGGCTTTCGGCCGCGCGAGGGCCAGGCGGGGGCGGCGGGGGAAGAGGGGATGAGAGGCGCAAGGTTCAGCCGCAGCAGCGACTGTCCTTCGAGACTGTCCTCAACATTAGAGTACGCTGCCCGAGCGCGCTCCTCGGGATCAGCGCTCACGATTCCAGTCACGCGGCGCCCTAACTAAATCGCAATCACAAAGTTCTACGGCTTTACCACATTGCACATATACCAGCACGCAGCAGCCAGCAGCAAGCACGCGCTGGCAGCAGCTCTGATCGTCTTCTCTGGCTCGCTATTGCAATGTGTCACATGGCATCACACACACACCAGTGTGTATATGTAACGTAGCCTTGCATACGGGGGAAGGATCGAGTTGACGGAAATCGGAGGACGCGACCCTCTTCGCCACAGACGGTCCCGCGCCTCGCCGCTGTGACGGCTACACGACCGCGGCTCGTGTGCGTGTCGCCGTCTTTATCCGGAGTGAAAAGTCCAACGCACTCGTCGGTGGCGGCTTCCCCCAACCTGCGCCGCGCTCGGCGAACCTCGACAGCGCCTTCGGTGGCATGCACCTCTTTGCGACTGAAGCCTGGAGAGAAGCTCCTCTGCTGCGCACAGCTCTGCACAGTTGGCACAGCCCACTGTGCGGCTGCCACAGCGCTGTGACAGCGATGGGCTCGCCCTCACTGCCTCACTGGCCCTCTCTGTCACTTGAGACTTGTGCTGCGGCTTGTGTGAGCGACACTGCTCGGCGACTGCCGGCACACTGTGAGACCATGTGGTAGAGGGCCCACAGCGTCCTAATCTAAAATATGAGGATTCAGGAGTGCATGCACATGTACATGTACATGTGGGTGTGAGGTAAAACCACGCTACCAGCGCTTGGTCACATCGGCCCCGAGGTCAGATGACAGATCCAACTCTACTCTGTTGATGAAGATTGATGACAACACTTGCCTCTAGCTCGCTGGAGCCGAGCAGGAAGGAGGGCCTGGCGCACAACCCCTGTGCAACTCAGGGTCATTTCCCCTTTACTGTATATGTAGCTACCTTACACGTAGCTAGTACAAGTAGTAGTACGTGGCTGGGTTCACAGCGATTGTAGGAAAATGACGGGACCACTTGACGGTCGCGGCCTTCCGACTCGCGCCTCCGCCTCACTGGCACTATTGTAGCCCTGGCCGTTGCGCGTGCGGAGTTGAAGTTCCGGAGTGAAAATTCGAACGCGTTCTCTCACGGTGACCAAAAAATGTCCACCTCAGAGGCACCTCCGGAGGCAGGCCGCCGCACGCCGGCGACACAGCTCCAGCTGTCGAACTGACCCGCAGCTCCTATCAGAGCGGGAACTGTGACAAAAGTTGACTGAGGCGGTTGTCAGGAATCATCATACGGATCACATGGTGGCTCTCTCATGACGGGAGACCGCCCGACCACTCCTGGGTGGCACTGCCACCGGTGTCGCTCGACGTCCTGTTGACAGCGTGCCGACAGCGACACAGACCATGTGGGACGCGTCGAGTATCGACCTCTACTGCTTACCCAGCCTTCGAGTGTATCCTGGCTGTGGTCCCACACCCACTGGTGTCCATCTCAGAGACCGCAGGAGGTCATGAGGGTCGATGGGAGTGCCAACCCCACAATGCCTAAAAACCCAGCCCAGTACGGTACGCGCTCGCACGGACACGTGTGAGTCTGATTGACGTAGAGAGCCGACTCTTTGCGAGCGCCGTACAACCTACAACGTACTCCCTCACCCGGGGACATCACAGCGCAAGTCGCTCACGGCCTCGGCGTCACCGCTCTCCCGGCGCGCGCGCAACCTCGCCAGCAGCAGCATCTCGTAGCAAGCGGACGGGTGGTCAAAGAGCTGCTCCTTTACAGACGCCTCGACCTCCCGCCGCCTCAAGCCGAGCTGCTCCAGGCGGGCGATCGTCTCGCCGTCGAGCGGCGTGCCCTCGGCGGGCGGGTCACTGCCGGGCGGCGGCAGCCTCGCGTCCACTCCCGTGAGCCAACGGCTCGCGCGCACCGCGCGTGCGTCTGCGCGCTGCTCGGGCGACAGGCAGAGGAGCGACCCGACGAGCGAGCACGCCTCGGGCGAGACTGTGCTGGGCAGCTCGAAGCGGCCCGAGACGACGCGCCTCTTGAGCTCGGCGGCGGAACACGCCTGGCGAGGGGAGGGGGGGTGCGAGGTGCGCGGCGGCGGATGGCGGCGGGCGGGTGCAGTGCGGGCCTGGAAGGGCAGCACGCCCGCGAGCATTGTCGCGAGCGCCACGCCGAGCGACCACATGTCGACCTGCGGCCCGCGGTACACCTCGCCGCCGAAGATCTCGGGCGCGCTGTAGCAGGGCGTGCCGTACGAGCGGTGGAGCGCCGTCTCCCTCCGGCAGACGCACGCGAGCCCAAAGTCGATCAGCTGCACGCGCGTGAGCGAGCCGTCCAGCACGAAGTTGTCCAGCTTGAGGTCGCGGTGGCAGACGCCCGCCTCGTGGCAGTAGTCCACCGCGCCGACCATCTGCGCGAAGAGCGGCCGCGCGCGCGCCTCGCCGAGCCTCCGCAGCGAGGTGACCAGCTGCTGCAGCGTCCCGCCCGCAGAGTACTCCATCACGATGTGGATGGCGCGAGGCGTGGAGATGACCTCGAACAGCCTCGCCACGCCAGCGTGCCGCAGCCGCTTGAGCACCCTCACCTCCTGCTCCACCGTCCGCCTCAGCGCCGGCGTGTGCAGCTTGGAGCGATCGATCGTCTTCATCGCGGCGCGCTGCCTCGTCAGGAGCGAGACGACGAGCGACACGGACCCGAAGGCGCCCCTGCCCAAGGCCCGCTCTCGGCGGTACAGGCTGCTCGCGTCACACGCCGGGCTTGCCCTCCCAGAGTAGAGCCGGAGGGCGGACGCCGCCGCCGACGGCGACGGCCCTCGCTCCGGCGTCGCCCGGGGCGCCGGGGACGCGGTCGCGGGCCGAGCGGCAGCTGGGTGCGCAGACGCGGGCCGAGCAGACGCGGGCCGAGCAGTCGCGGGCCGAGCAGTCGCGGGCCGAGCAGTCGCGGGCCGAGCATAGGCGGGTTGTGCAGAGGCAGGCCGAGCAGAGGCCGGCCGAGCATAGGCGGGTTGTGCAGAGGCAGGCCGAGAGTTCGGTCGAGTCGAGGCTGGCTGAGCGTAGGCGGGCCGAGAGGTGGGCTGCACCGGCACACGGGCGGCGGAGGCGGCGAGGCGCAGCGCCGGGCTGGCGTGCGGCGTGACCGGACGGGAGTGCGGCCGTGGTGGCGGAGGAGGCGTGCGCCGCACCCCGGGAGGAGTCATTCTGCCGGGCCGGAGCGCCGGGCTCCTCGCCATGATGGCCAGCCGAGGCACGGGCGGCTGGCGGTGCGTCGAGTTGGTAGCGTTGGCAGCGGTCGGAGACACCTCGGCCATAGTGCAGAGCCGCGAGGGACGGCGGACAGGCGTGCTGCCTTTGGGCGGCTTGGGACTCGGGCTGTGGAGTCGTGCAGAGAGCTTGGTGAGATACGATGAACTTTTCTGACGGCCGAGCGGCGTCTCGAGCTGCACGTACACGCGCATGTTGCTCCACTCCGCCGGATCGTCTGTGGCCCGGAACGTCTGTGGCCTTCTGACGCGTGCGCCCCGGGCCCGCAGGCCGTGTGCTTTTTGAGAGAGGCTCGTCTCTTGAGAACTGCGGCTACGACGGCGCTCTAGCTCGCCAGCGCAGCGTTGCGGCAGTTCAACTTTTTTGAACTTTTTGTGCCTTCGGCTTTTTTTGAAAAACGGAGCGCACTCACACACTGGCACGAGAGAGAGAGAGAGAGAGAGAGAGAGAGAGAGAGACCGCCAATGGCCGTTATCCGTTAGTGCGGACGTCGCCGCGGCTCGCCTCTGCCGCGGCGGCTGCTGCGCGCACGCGGCGGCGCCGCTCTCTCGCGAGACGGCTGGCGACGCGGCTCGCCGCCGACGTACGGTGCGCTCGTCCGACGGTCCGCAGCGTGGCGTGCGCGGCGTTGAGCGCCGCTCTGCGAGCGCCTCTGCGCCTGCACTGCCTGTCTCTGTTGCTGGTGGTGGTGGTGGTGCTGCTGCTGCTGGTGCCGATGCTGCTGCTGGCGCGGCGCGGCTGTGCGACTGGGCTCGACGCGCGCGTCGCGAGCGTCTGACGCGGCGGGCGGCGTCGGGCAGGTGCGCTTCTCTCTCGGGTGGTGGTGGTGGTGCTGCTGCTGCTGCTGGTGGTGCAGATGCTGCTGCTGGTGCGGCGCGGCTCTCCGACGCGACTCGATGCGCGCGTCGTGGCTATCTGACGCGGCGGGCGGCGTCGCGGGCGGCAGCGGTGGCGGCTCGCGGGTGGAGGTGGAGGCTGGTGGCTGTGGTGGACTTTGAGTTTGTTTCATGGTCGAGTACGGGGACCGGGGGGTCAACCGGGAGGCAGGGGGTTCAACCAGGCGACGGAGGACCGTGGGCCATCGCGGGGACTGCTGCGTACGGAGGACGCGGCAGGCAGATCCGGATGGTCTCACCCGGTGGGAGGCACCGAGGCGTCTTGGACGCTCAGCTCTACCTTAAGCTCCTGAGGGGCGCGTGGTTTTAACCACGTAGTAGGACTACAACCCACCACAGACACCCTCGCCACTCCTCACGTGTACACACTCCCTCACCCTCTCCTCTCTCCTCTCTCTCTCTCTCCTCTCTCTCCTCTCCTTGTCTGTGCTGTCTGCCTGACTCAGGCACTAATTCTGCCGATGCGAGATTGTGTGTGGGCTGCTCCGAGGGGGCCCTGTGCGATCCGATGGGTAGGGAGTCTGTGCCCGGGCGGTGTCCGGTGCGGAGTCTCTCTCTGATCCCACCTGTGGTGTTGGGTGTGAGGTCGTGGAAGCTTCGATCCCAAGGGGGGGAGCCGAGCCCACTCATAACCAACTCTCAGGGGCAGTAGGTGGGCGAGCTTCAGGCACGCTCATCTCGATCGTCAAGACGTTGCTACGCGCGGTCTTCCGCGGGGGGAGCTGCGTCGACGGGTGCGGGACCGCGGCGCAGCCAGTGCCGCGGCGAGGCCTCCGGCTGTTTGCGGCGGGCGGCTTGCTGCTCGCTGCGATGGCGAAAAACTCGTCTCGCCACACGCCAAGGGCTTATGCTCTGGCGAGACGTGAGGCGCATGCGCCCAGGAGGGGAGGGGGCATGCGTAACGACACTGCTAGAGATGCCTTTCGGGGCCCAGAGATAAAACTTCTGTGATGCCATGCGTGACCTAGTAGTGTCCCCAGCTATGGGCGTGTCCACGTTGGAGCCAGGTGTGGTGTGGGCGCGAGAATAGCTCCGCCGTTCATGGAGGCAACCGATGCGAGTCGACTGGTGTGTGTCGTCGTGGTTTCGTATCAAGAATTCTCTCTCTCTCACTGGCACGACACGGGCGCAGACAAGACCGACGCCCTTGCCAGCCTCGGCGTGTGCCTCGGCCCCTGTCAGTGTGCCTGTGGTAGCGAGAGAGAGAGAGACTGCCAGCGAGAAGCCTGTTAGGCTGAATATACTTTTCCTCTCGCACCCCGTCTCTTTTCCTTTCTTTTTTCTCTACAGCACCCTCTCTTTTCCTCTCTCTTTTCCCGGGGAAACCATCAAATTTTCCGGGCTCTGAGCCGAGACCCGAGTCTGAGGCTCGTTTGGGGCCGGCCCAAAATCAGCCAAATCTGCGAAATACCGGGTATTTTGCGGGTATACCTGGAAACCCCCGGTATACCTGAAAAATACCCTGGTCCCTGCGACCGCCTGGGTATCGTGCCGATTTCCTCAATTTTGCCTCAGATTTTGCCCCAGACCAGCTCTCAGACTCAGGGAAACTCGCTCGCGAGTTTCCAGAATGGTCAATGGAGCACCAAACACCCTCTGTTTTCCCTGGAAATTTCCGGAAACGCAAAGTGCTGGGGACCCTCTGTTTTCCTTTTTGTTTGCCGGAAAAGTATATGCAGGCCAAGAAGCCTGAGGGAGGGTGTAGAGGATGTAGATAGAGTGTAGAGCGCTGTAGAGCTGTAGAGATGTAGAGCGCTCTGGAGCGCTGTAGAGCAATGTAGAGCTGTAGAGCTCTACATCCGGCGCGGGACAGAGCGATGCAGATGTAGAGCGATGTAGAGGCGCTCTACAACGTGAAATCTCTACAACAAACTCTACCTCGAGGTACTCGAACTCGAGTACATCAAAAGCGGCGAACGAGGCACGGACGGTCGCTCTCCGACATTAGGCGCGTTGCACTTGCCAGTGCTGCCCTGGCCTTCTGTCTGCCCGCCCAATGGGTGGCAAGTGCCTCTGCTGCTGTGGCATGCCTCACGGCTGCGACTGGCCGGCGCCTCGGCGCGTCAGCTCGGCTCGGCGTAGCGATAGTGGCCAGCGCAACTCGCCTGGACTCAACGCTCAGCCAGGAGCTCCCGCACGCGCTGGCGCGAGGCATGGCGCATGCAACGCGCAGCAATGCTCGCCTCGCCTCGCGCAAATGCGACCGTCCTCGCAGCCGACAGTCCACCGCCTGCTAAAGAAGCACAGCGACGAATGCGGCACCGGCGACGCATGGCAGGCTGGTCATGACGCAGTTATAGGGTGTTGGTGTGCCGTCAGAGTGACTCTCTGTGTGTCAGGGATAGTCAGGGCCGTTCATCAGAGCTCCAGTAAGCTCGGAGACACCCCACTAGTGCGGCTCGACCTCTTTGAGTCACTGCCTTCCCGGCGGGTTGGCTGTAGAGCCTCTACAACAAACTCTACAGCAAAATCGCGCTCTACAGTGCTCTACATCTGCATCGCTCTGTCCCGCGCCGGATGTAGAGCTCTACAGCTCTACAGCGCTCTCCAGCGCTCTATACATCTCTACAGCTCTACAGCTCTCTACACTCTACATCCTCTACACCCTCCCTCAGCGAGAAGAGCTGGAGGTCGCTAGACTGAGATGAGACCGCCAGAGTTGGGAGTCCACCAACCATCGTGCATCGAGGGGTCCTCCCGTAATCGACCCTATCCAGTGCTCAAGTGCTCAAGTCCACTGAGCACCGCGCTGCGAGCCTGTCGTGTCCCTTGTCAGGACACAGGAGCAGGAGAACCCCCTGTGGCCTGTGCCCCTGTGATCGTCCTTCCAAAATCCTGCTCGTGCAGGTGGGGACCCTGCCCTCCGCCCATCCCTCGTTTGGGTTCCCTCCTTTCTTTCTTCCTTTCGGGCTTGGGCTCAACAAGGTTTGCCTCTCGCACCCCGTCTGTTTTCCTTTCCTTTTTTCTCTACAACACCCTCTCTCTTCCTCTCTATTTTCCGGGGAAAACTCCGTGGAAATCGTCAAATTTTGGGCGCTGTCCGCGCTGAGCCGAGTCTGTGTCTGAGGCTGGTTTGGGCCCAAAATCAGCCAAATTTTAGGCCAAATCGGCAACATGCCGGGAATTTCGCGGAGAACCCGTGTATACCTGGAACTTACCCTGCGACCGCCTGGGTATTTTGTCGATTTCCTCAATTTTGCCTCAGATTTTGCCCCAGACCAGCTCTCAGACTCAGGGAAACTCGCGAGTTTCCAGAATGGAGCACCAAACACCCTCTGTTTTCCCTGGAAATTTCCGGAAACGCAAAGTGCTGGGGACCCTCTGTTTTCCTTTTTGTTTTCCGGAAAACCTTGTTGAGCCCAATTTCGGGCTCCTGTCCGGATAGCCGTATCGGATAGGGGGCAACAAAACCACACACAAAACTCTCTGACAGGAAAATCTCTCTCTCTGAGAGTGGTTAGTCTCCTGCTAGCCCGGCTCGCCGGGACCCGGGTGCCGGGAGGGAGGAGGGAGGTAGGAGGTGGTTGCTCCGCCGCTGGACTACTGGGTACTACTTACTGGCCGCCTCGGTAGGAATACACACACACAATGCGCCTGCGCGCTGCGGGCGGACCCTCACAGGTCACAGCTCAGCTCACTCGCTGGAGCTCCCAGACAGACCGCAATTAATTAGGCGGTGAGTGAGTTTGCAGTTTGGGTTTGGGCTTGTTTAACCCCACGGCGTTGCGGCCGGCGCGTTAGTTAGGGGCAAATTGACATTTAGCGAGAAAGAAGAACTGCTAGCAGGAAATTATTCACACGAAGGCGCTTTCAAAAAAAGAACTCCGAGGTGCGCGACGCGGCCCAAAAAGGCCCGGGACTCTCACCCACAGACTTCATGGCGACCAGCAGGCCCCGCCCTTACCCTGTGGAGGAGGAGCCAGAGTTTCGTGCGGACCGAGCTCCGCCGGCAGCAGCTCCGCGTGGCGCTCTCGCCGCCGGCAAGGCCTCGCACCTCATCACCGCCACGGTCGCGTTCTTCTGCGTCCGGTTTGTTAGTCTTCCCATGTGCGGCCATCTGACGCGTGCACTCGAGGCCATGTGGCCGGCCGCGCTGCGGCCGTACCTCGACCCGGCGCAGGACGACACCGCGGTCTTGATGGGCTGCAGTGCGCTGTCTGCCTACCTCGTCGTCGCGGTAGGACTCTGCTCGCTCCTGGACTGCCACCCGGAGGCGCACCGGTACAAGACGCAGGGCCACCGCTCCATCTTTACGTGGGATCAGTGGACGCGCGCGGTCGCCGTCGGGCTGTCCAATATCCTCCTCTTCTCCTGGTTCGCGACTATCCCGGCGTGGCAGCTGCAGCGGCGCGGAGGCGGCTCGGGCGCGTGGGACACGCCGCTGTCCTTGCCCAACGAGCTGGCGTGCTTTGCGGTGCACGTCGTGACAATCGACGTGTGGTTCTACGTCACCCACCGCGCGCTCCACCTGCCGCTCCTGTACAAGTGGATCCACAAGTTCCACCACGCCTTCAAGGCGCCCGCCGCCATCGCATGCGTGTACGCCAACCCGATCGAGTTCTGCGTCGGCAACGTCGGCGGCGTGGTTCTGGGGCCGGCGCTGACGCGCTGTCACCCCTACGCCGCCGCCTACTGGCTCGCCTTTTCCCTCACGTCGACGAGCCTGGCGCACAGCGGCTACCGCGCCTTTGGCGCAGAGGAGCACGATGCGCACCACGAGCACTTTTCGTGGAACTTCGGCGTCGGCATCTTGATGGACAGGGCGCTCGGCACGTGCCTGCCGGAGGGGCTGCGCGCGCGGGGGGGCGAGAAGATCATGAAGAGAAGCTGATCGTAATTCGTATAGGGCCGTCTTCTTGCTTACGTCACGCTACAGCCTACAGGGGACCCAGTCCAGTAGGAAATAGAAAATTCGAGGTCTAGCATGGCATAAATAAATAAATAAAACGGACATGCACATGGCGGCCCAAGCTAGGCCTAGGGTGCTAGGGAGGGCTGGGTCGTCGTCGAGGACAGACACGTCCCCACCTAGCATGGCACTTGGAGCATTTGGAGGCACTTGGAGTGCAGTCGGCAACCGCACGCCAAGGACCGGGAAAAAGAAAGAAAGAAAAACAGCCCACCCAAACGAGGGATAAAGAAAGAAAGAAATAAAACAGACACGCCAAACGAGGGATGGGACGAGGACAGGGTCCCCACCTGCACGAGCAGGATTTTGGAAGGACGATCAGGGGGACAGGTGGGGCTCTCCTGCTCCTGACAAACGAAAAGAAAGAAAGAAAGAAAACAGACACGCCAAACGAGGGATGGGACGAGGACAGGGTCCCCACCTGCACGAGCAGGATTCTGACAAACGAGGGATCGGACCGCCACTATCATTTCTTCTCCGCTGAGAGCGGCGCCCGGCGCAGGAGTTGCTCGCAAGCCAAACACCACCTCGCAAAACCCTATCTCGGCAGCGCCAGGAGTCCGCGCGTAGCCATCCGCGGTTTCGCAGCGCGAGGAACTGCTGTGGGATGGGCGGCGAGGCCGCCCCTGCGGCGGCCGACGCGCTGCGCGCGCTGTTGGAGGAGGAGGACGAGGATCTCACCGGCTTTGCGGAGGATGCGGCGGTGCAGGAGGCCCTGTCGTGCGGCCGCGACCTGCGGGAGCACGCCGAGGAGGTGGAGAGCTCGCTGCGCGCGGTGGAGAGGGAGTCGATCGCCGACTACATCAAGGAGAGCGAGTCGCTCGCCGGGCTGCACACCCAGATCCGCGAGTGCGACGGCGTGCTCGACACGATGGAGTCGATGCTGCGCGGCTTCCAGTCGGACCTGGCGTCCATCTCGGCGCAGATCAAGTACCTGCAGGACGAGAGCCTCTCGATGAACGTCCGGCTGCGCAACCGCAAGGCGGCCGAGACACAACTCTCGTCCTTCATCACGCAGATCGTCGTGCCGCCGGAGCTGATCTCGCAGATCTGCGAGGCCGAGGTGGACGCGTCCTACCTGGGCTACGTGCAGCAGCTCGACGCCAAGGTCTCCTTCGCCAAGCTCGAGAGCACCGCCATGACTTCCGCCTGCGCCGACATCGCGCCCGAGCTCGAGAAGCTCCGCCTCAAGTCGGTGCAGCGCATACGCGACTTTCTGCTCGAGCGAGTCGGGCGGCTGAAGCGGCGGATGACAAACACGCAGATCCTGCAGAACTCGGTGCTGCTCAAGTACAAGGGGCTGTACGCCTTCCTCCAGAGCCACGCCCCCGACGTCTGCGCAGAGGCGCAAGAGGCGTAAAGGCCAAGCTGTCCGTACGCAGAGGAGCGATTAGTCATGCCCTGTCGATAGGTGCGGGAGGCGTACACGACCACCATGTCCTCCGTCTACCTGGCCAAGGCGCGGCCAGACACGTCCGAGACACCTTCGAGACGCTTCCGAGACGCTTCCGGGACGCCTCCTAGACAACACCTCCCACACCCCCCCGAGGCACACTTCACTTCCCAGACACCGTGCGTCTACGTCGCTGAGCTGCGGCGCGCCTGAGACAGAGAGCGAGCCCCAGAGCGAGCCCCGAGGCGGGGCCGCCCCACCGCCCGACCCTGCCCCCTTCTCCGCCCCGCAGGTCAAGACGGTCTTCGTGGAGGAGCAGCTCCTCGCCGACAACGGCAAGATGATCAGCTTCGTCAAGCAGGCCGAGCCCCTGCTCGTGCCCGGCGCGCCGCCCGAGGACGCGGCCAAGGTGGACAAGGGGGCGATGGAGCACCTCACGCGCGAGTTTTACGACAAGTGGAAGGCGGGCATCGAGGCGATCCACCGCGACGTGGTCCAGTCCTTCTCCAACTTCAAGCTCGGGATGGACATCCTCAAGCAAGTGCTCACCCAGCTCCTGCTCTACTACACGCGCTTCCTCGACCTCGTCAAGCAAGCCTTCCCGCACGGGCCGCCCTTCGCGCAGTACATCCTCTCCATCCCCACGCTGATGAACGAGATCAAGCACTTCTCGAGAAATTTCTAGCGCCCAGCCGCCCGCCGGTGGGGGAGAGGCCTCTGAGCTGCAGAGGACTGGCGCTCTCTGTGTCGAGTCGACGCCTTTAGTCGTGACGTCGTCCTTGAAACCCCTATTGTCGCGCATCGCGCGCGCTGTCGCATGTGATGTCTCGTGTATTACTGTGTCTCCAGACTCCACCGCGCACGAAAGCCGTGAGTCGACTGTCGGACACATAGAGGCAAGAGGGAGACACGAGCTCAGCTCGGCCAGCGGCCCAGCCTCTAGAGCGGAGAGAATAAAGAAATAAAAACGGTCAAACTCTCTCTGTGAGACGAGATATGGGATTTAGGGACATGTGTCCCCGCCCTGCACGATCTTGGTGTGAGGGATCTTCAATCCGTCCCCTCACCCCTGGTAACTACCCGACACTAGAAGAGCAGCAAGAGTTGGGGCTATGGTCGCGGGAGAGCCGCTGCGCCGCGTGGGCGCGCCTACACCGCGCTTGCTCCGCTCGCCACCTCTCGCAAAGGTCCAAAGTCATAGCCATCACCTCCTCCGGCAAGTCCTTTTCGCCTATCTCGCCGTCCCTCCATGCCTGGTATAGAGCTCGTCGTCATAGCCATTATTTATTGCATCACAGCCTGCTGCACTTGCGTCGTGCACAACCCTGCCACCCTATATCCCGCGCCTCAGCGTCGGAAAATTCGAGCTCGGAGTCATACCCGGAAGCAGGCGCAGACGGCCGCGGCGATTTGGCAGGCGGCGAGGTGGGGGAGGGAGAGCGCGGCGGTGCGCGCTCGGTGCTCCCGCTCTGGTGCCAGAAGGGCCAGAGCGTGCTAGCGGACAGGCACACCCAATCCACAAAAAACGCCCAGCACACGCGCACCACACGTCAGCGACGCGGGACGCGCCGATCGATTCTCAACGAGATTTGACATTTGTCCGCAGTGTTCCCGGGCATTCACACTATATTCCTCTGAGATAATATTATATTTCGCCGCCACCGCGGCGCGCGCGCTTTATCCGCGCGCTATATTAGTAGAGCCAAACTTGTGTTCTTGTTTTGGATCAAACTTGTTTACAGCTCACTTCAGCGCGATGCGGCCCCTGTCTAGCCTCCTGCTCCTATGCAGCAGCTATGGCGGGACCGCTATCGAGTATGGCTTCCCCTCCGGGAAGAACGGCCTCGACTACTGCATCGCCGAGGCCGACACCACCAGCGACATGACAGCGTCGACCACCATGGCAGCTCCACCATGGACAAGCCTTGCACCCTATATGTCAGCCACCACCTGGGCGCCTGGCGTGTGCGAGCACAACCCTATGCGGGATGAAGGATCTGAACAATACACTCGGCCGGCCTCTTTGAGCCCGTCCGAGTCCACCATTTGTTTCGACGATCCATTTTTTGACTTCTTCCTCGCTATTTGCAGACTTCAGACCAGAACAAGTGAGGACACGTGTGCCTCCACTCACACTACCTCCCAGGCGATGGAGCACGCGCTACAGTCGGCTCCTGAGGCCTCACCCACCTACTGCGGCCAATCTGAATTTTCGGCCCTCCGCAGCCCCGCGATACAGGTGCACTCATGGCCCAATACGATGGCGCTACAATTCATGAGGCACGGGACTCTTGCTGCGACAACCCAGCCCCATAGGAAGCCTGCGACATACATGCCGCCGCCACCTTTGCTGGATCACTCAATGCTGCCCATTCTTCTGGGCCAGTGCGACGGGAACGGCTTCCTTTGCCTCCAAAATGTTTCACCGTGGAATGCTACAGTTGACCCTACACCTTGGCAGAAAGTCCTTCCCCGGGACCACTCGGACACGTCGAGTGCAGGAGAGGCATTGTACCATGGGACATGTTCTTCTGGAAAGGAGCTTGCCACCTACCAAGCCCTTGAGACCTTGAGCAGTGGGACAGAGGTAGTGCCCTTCAACAATGGGACATGTGGTATCATCTGGCCACTCCATGGAACCACCGATGCTGCGAAAGCCCTTTGCCTTGATCACTTTCGGCGACGCGGCAAGCGCGATTGGGTCAAATACGAGCTCCATTGGAACTATGTGTTCTCAAACAAGAATTGCGCTCGGGTACAGTCCACATGGATGGGAATGATCTGGCCATTTTTTCTTTGCTTTGCTCTCGTTGGGTTCCTTTTCCTTGCTTACTCCCTGCTGACAAGTGCACTGGACAATTGGCGACCTGTTTGCTTACCAGACCGTTAGCAGCCTATTGATTATCCATGAATACGACGAGATGTCCGAGTTCCGCACCGCCTACATGGCCATCGTCGGCGGACTACTGTGGCTTGCCAATATGACGCGCGTCGACATTGCTTATTCAGCGTCTCAGCTTGCTCGCTTCATGACTAATCCTGGCCCGTCGCATTTTAAAGCCGCCATCCGGGTGCTTATCTACGTGCGCGACACAGCTGACCGCGCCCTCGTCATGCAGCCGAACCCCAACCGCAACCTTGAGAGCTACGTCGATTCAAACTGGGCAACGAAGTTCTCTTGCTCCGGTGGCATGTTCTTCTTCTACGGATGTCTCTTCCACTGGTTCTCCAAAATGCAGCGATCTGTCACGCTGTCTAGTGCCGAGGCAGAGTTCTTTGGCGCCATGCTAGCCGCCAAGGAGGTGATTTTCATCCGTGAGCTACTGATCGACCTTGGATTTTCCATCGACGGCGCCAGCGTCATCAACTGCGACAGCAAATCCGCCGTCGGCATGGCCTTCGATCCCGTTGCCTTCAAGAAGACCAAGCACATCTTGCGCGCCGCCGAGTTTCTTCGCGATCTCGTCAGCCGTGGCGTTATCTCTGTCGAACACCTCCCCGGCGTCGTGATGCTCGCCGACCTGCTCACGAAGGCTGCCTCGCGGGCCATCTTTACTGGCCTGATCAAGCAGCTCGACGACTTTCATGCCCTTTGAATTTATTTGTCCCTCGCGCCCCGCACTCGGGCCAGGGGAGGGGCTGTTCCCGGGCATTCACACTATATTCCTCTGAGATAATATTATATTTCGCCGCCACCGCGGCGCGCGCGCTTTATCCGCGCGCTATATTAGTAGAGCCAAACTTGTGTTCTTGTTTTGGATCAAACTTGTTTACAGCTCACTTCAGCGCGATGCGGCCCCTGTCTAGCCTCCTCTGCTCCTATGCAGCAGCGCGGCGCCGCGCGCGGACTAGCTGAGCGACAGAGCGAGACTCGCGTACGGTGCTCGGAGGGAGGTCTCTGTGCACGTACTACATACTGTACAGCGCGGCTACAGTACGCCACGCAATCCAAGTCACAGTTCCGTACACGCGGTATGGGGTATGCCGCTTGCAACTTGCATGGTCACGCCCCGCAGGGAGGGTGACTCGCCACCGCGTCCGCCAGCTCCAAGAAGGAGCTCACGACGACGGTTGGGCCCGGGCTGTCTGCCCACGGATCCATGACGTAGTTCGGCCGCTCGCCGCGCTTCATCCACGCCGTCCTCCAGCCGCACGCGGCGGCGCCGAGGATGTCGAACGGGTTGCTCGAGACGAGCCACGTGTCCTCCTCCGAGGAGCCTGCCCGCTCCATCAGATAGGCGTACGTCGCGGCGTGCGGCTTGAAGACGGGCGACGGCATGTCGTCCACGACCACGGTGTCCACGAAGCTGCCGCTCAGCTCTGCGTTTGCGAGCAGGCAGCGCACGTCTGAGCTCGTCCCGTTGGAGAAGGCGTAGCAGCGGTGGTTCGCCGCAGCGAGCTGGTCGAGGCCGGGCTTGCAGTCCGCAAACGCCGGCAGAAGGAGGTAGGCGCCACACAGCCGCTCTCGCTCCTCCTCAGATAGTTCCGCGTCAAACATCTCGCAGCAAAAGTCGAGCGCTTCGCGCGTGGCCACGGTCATCGGCCTGTAGGCATCCATGCACGTGCGCCGGAAGGTGTACTCGAGCTGCTTGGCCCGCCACATGCTGTTGAAGGCCGGCTCCTTTGCGTCGATGGCCGGCATAGCGCGCATCATGCTGCCGAGGCCCTTGACGTCAAACGTCGTGCCGTACATATCGAAAGCCAGAGTCGCGCGGCCGGACGAGCTGCTGAAGCGCCGCAGCGTGGCGCGCATGTTGTGTGTGTGGCTGGTTTTACAGGATGCTACAGTAGCCGGTACGAGGCTCACGTCGCTGGGCGTCGCTGGATGGATGCGAACACCAGTGATGTGTCCTACAGGTACCTAGGTATGAACAACGAGAAGACAAATGCCGTTTGCTGATAAATATATAATATATTTGTAATGGTGCCACAACTTCCATCCCTTCTTGCCCGGCATAGCAAAACCAAGCGGCCGATTGTACTCGCTGGCAACCGCCCGATTTTTATAATCCTATCCTATTATACTACAGTGGGTTGCTGAGGGAGGGTGTAGAGGATGTAGAGTGTAGAGCGCTGTAGAGCTGTAGAGATGTAGAGCGCTCTGGAGCGCTGTAGAGCTGTAGAGCTCTACATCGGCTGCGTGACGAGGCGGGTGCGTTGTAGAGCGATGTAGAGCGCGATTTTGCTGTAGAGTTTGTTGTAGAGGCTCTACAGCCAAACCGCCGGGAAGGCAGTGACTCAAAGAGGTCGAGTCGCACTAATGGGGTGTCTCCGAGCTTACTGGAGCTCTGATGGACGGCCCTGACTATCACTGACACACAGAGACGGTCACTCTGACGGCACACAACACCCTATAACTGCGTCATGACCAGCCTGCCATGCGTCGCCGGTGCCGCATTCGTCGCTGTGCTTCTTTAGCAGGCGGTGGACTATCGGCTGCGAGGACGGTCGCATTTGCGCGAGGCGAGGCGAGCATTCAGACGCGTTGCATGCGCCATGACTCGCGCCAGCGCGTGCGGGAGCTCCTGGCTGAGCGTTGAGTCCAGGCGAGTTGCGCTGGCCACGATCGCTACGCCAAGCCGAGCTGACGCGCCGAGGCGCCGGCCAGTCGCAGCCGTGAGGCATGCCACAGCAGCAGAGGCACCTCCCACCCATTGGGCGGGCAGACAGAAGGCCAGGGCAGCACTGGTAAGTGCAACGCGCCTCATGTCGGAGAGCGACCGTGCCTCGTTCGCCGCTTATGATGTAGAGTTTGTTGTAGAGATTTCACGTTGTAGAGCGCCTCTACATCGCTCTACAACGCACCCGCCTCGTCACGCGGTGGATGTAGAGCTCTACAGCTCTACAGCACTCTCCAGCTCTACAGCTCTACAGCGCTCTACACTCTACATCCTCTACACCCTCCCTCAGGTGGGTTGCGGGCATTAAGAAAACGTCGCATTAAGAAACCCTACCAAGCGATTTCCGCAAAAATCTAAGAAACCACGGGGCGCCGCAGGCGCGGCCCCGAGAAAAGGCCAGACACGAGTGTGAACGGGTCCGGAGCCCCAGCTGCAGCTCAAAATTTCTCTTCGCCTGGGCCTGCGGCAGCGCACTTGTCACTTTTCAAGTCTGCGGTGTTCTGAGTGGAGTGGTCAGTGGATGGAGGCGTGTGTGCGTCTTCCCCTCATCCAGAGAGCCGACTCGGCGGCAGACTCTTGGCATCGCCCTCGCGGACCGAGCTTTAACACTCTTCTTACCTAAAAATCCTTCGGGCCGGCGCTCTGGCTTGATTGAGTGCCCCGCCCGGAGCTAAGAAACCACGGCGTGGGGTGGATGAGGGCTGTGGAAAGGCTTAGAAACGGCGGCGTGCCGCGGAATCCTGTTTTCTTAATGCCCGCAACCCACTGTACTCGAGCGTTTCATGCCCCGGCTGGGTGTGTGTCTCTGCCGTTCCTTCGTCCGGCTGTTCGTACCTGTTCGTGCGTCAAGGTGTGCGTGCGTTTTGGCCAGTGCCGTTGTTCCTGCGTCCGGCTCTCGTCTGGGAACCAGCTGGGAACCTGTTCGTGCTATACAGGTGTGTGTGTTGTGTCGGTTTCTCTCGTTGAGGGTTGAGCTATGCCGTTCCTGTGTCCGGCTATTCGTGCCTTCCGTTTGCGGACATCGGGCAGGAGATCGTGGCTCGCGCCGCGTCCCGCGAGACGTGTGGATGGTGATTTTTTATTTTTTCTGATCTTTCGATTCATCTCATCCGAACTTTTCTTTTTCTCCGTTGGGCTCAGACCCCAAAAGACAACCCACTGATGCTGGGGAGGGTGATGTGTAGTACGCAGTTCCTCACATGCGGATGGGGGAGAGGATGCCCCCGTATAGCGGCTAGCTATGCGGGTGCATCCTGTCTCTCTTTGTGGGGGCGGTCGACGCCGTGCGGGGAGAGCAGGCTGGCCGCAGAGCGGACGCTCGCTCCCCGGGCGCTGCGGGTACGCTTGCTGGGCGAAGGGGCGCTGGCCGCTGGGCGGACGCGCGCCCCCTCCCCGAGGGGTGGTGCCTCTCAGAGGCGATGGTACCAGTACCACTGGTGATGGTCTACTTCAACTGCTCGAGGGGAGTGTGCCTGTCGGAGGCGGGGTTGAGCTAGGGGTTGAGCGTGTCCAGCTCGTCTTTTCGCCGCCGCGCGGCGATGGGCGTAGGCGTACCTATAGTATTCCCTCGTGTATAGGGTGATTTCAGGTCTGCTCCATCGTCTGCCGGCAGCGTGAGCTGCACGCGGCTCGTTCGAGCGGCCACTTTTTTGTTTGGCAGGTTCGAGGACAGGTCGGTGCTTCGGCCTTCGCGCCGTCGCGTAAGCGAACGCGTGCGCGCGACGCGCGTGCGTGCACGTGCAAGTGCAACAAACGAACGAACCACACGCCAAAGCCGTCCCTGTGCAAGTGCAACAAACGAACGACGACACACACCACACACTTGCGCACAGCCGGGCGATGAATTCTCTTTTGTGTTCGTAAAATGGCGCCTCTAGCTAGAGTGTGTGTTTGCTCCTGCGGCGCCGAGGTGCTGCATGTGCCGCCGGAGCTCGCGCCGGCTGTCGACCAGTACGTGGAGCCGGTCCCGCGGTGGGCGTGTCCGCGCCGCTCTGGCGTGCTGACTTGGCTCGTGCTCCTGTCCATCCCTTCGGCCTCCTTCCTCTTCCTCATCGGGCCGCATCTGGCTGCGCGGGACGGGGTACACCTCGTCGCCGCCGTGGCGCTCACCTACCTCGTCTCGACCACCTTCATGGCGCTCGCCGCCTTTTCCGACCCCGGCACCATCCCGCCGAACCGGGACCCGGACGTGCGGCGGGCGGTGCAGCAGCGCTCGCCCGTGGAGGTGACGGTGCGCGGGACTCGGCTCACGCTCAAGCACTGCGCCACGTGCGGCATCCACCGGCCGCCTCGCTCGGCGCACTGCCGTGAGACCAACCGCTGCGTGCAGAAGCGGGCTGTGCCTGCAGCTCGGCCGCAGCCGGCGGGCGGCGCCTCCTCAGGGCTGCGGCTGCGAGTAGGTGGGACCACTACTGCCCGTGGATCGGCAACTCGGTCGGCCGGCGCAACTACCCCTTCTTCCTCCTCTTCGTCGCCTCGACCCTCGCCCACTCCCTCCTCACGGCCGTGGCGAGCGTGCTGCACCTGACAGAGGTCGCCGCCTCGCTCGCGGCCTCCGCCGACGACGCCGCG